CGCCCGCCATCACGCCCAGCTAATTTTTTTTTTTTTATTTTCTAGTAGAGACGGGATTTCGCCGTGTTAGCCAGGATGGTCTTGATCTCCTGACTTCGTGATCTACCCGCCTCGGCCTCCCAAAGTGCTGGGATTACAGGTGTGAGCCACCGCGCTCGGCCTGCTTTTCTTTTTGGGGGGAGGTGTTTGTGTATATTTCTTTTAAGTGATTACGTGAACTCTTACTTTTCTTTGGCAACTTGCTATTTCTGTTTCCTAAACTGGCATTTCGTAATTTTTTTTTTTTTAACTTCAACTTATATCTTCTTTCTTTTCTTTTTTCTTTTTCTTTCTTTTTTTTTTTTTTTTTTTTTTTTTTGAGACGGAGTCTCGCTCTGCCGCCCAGGCTGGAGTGCAGTGGCCAGATCTCGGCTCACTGCAAGCTCCACATCCTGGGTTCACGCCATTCTCCTGCCTCAGCCTCCCGAGTATCTGGGACTACAGGCGCCCGCCACCTCGCCCGGCTAGTTTTTTGTATTTTTTAGTAGAGACGGGGTTTCACCGTGTCAGCCAGGATGGTCTCGATCTCCTGACCTCATGATCCGCCCGTCTCGGCCTCCCAAAGTGCTGGGATTACAGGCTTGAGCCACCGCGCCCGGCCTTTTTTTTTTTGAGACAGAGTCTTGCTCTGTTGCCTAGGCTGGAGTGCGGTGGCGCAGTCTCAGCTTACTCCAATCTCTGCCTCCTGGGTTCAAGTGATTCGCCTGCCTCAACCTCCCAAGTAGTTGGGATTACAAGCGTGCACTGCAACTCCCGGCTATTTTTTTGTTTTTAGTAGAGACAGGGTTTCGCCATGTTGGCCAGGCTGATCTGGAACTCCTGACTTCAAGTGATCTGCCTGCCTCAGCCTCCCAAAGTGCTAGGATTACCGGCGTGAGCCGCCGCGCTCGGCCCCGTTTTTCTCTTTTTTTGGTTATGAAATTTCCTGATGTGCATGAAATAATTTCTAAGATCCCGTCTAGCTCCAACAAATAGTTCTATGATCTTTATTTCTAATGAATCTTTCCTCCTCAGAGGCTAAATAATGCAAGTTAGAATTTCTTTTCATTTGAAAACTAAGAAATACGTATTTGGTTGTATGCTGCTATTATATACAATTTTTGCTCTTTTGTTTTTGGACTATTGCTGTTAATCATGTAGCTATTCACAGAATAGGATCACTCACTAGTTCAATTTTTGCACATTACTAATCAACACTCGCTCGCTGTGGAATCCACAGGGACATACTGGGGTTATTCAGTTATTTAAAAATTTATTTGGCTGGGCGCGGTGGCTCACACCTGTAATCCCAGCACATTGGAAGGCCAAAATGGGCAGATCACCTGAGGTCAGAAGTTCGAGACCAGCCTGACCAACATGGAGAAACCCTGTCTCTACCAAAAATACAAAAATTAGCCGGGTGTGGTGGCACATGCCTGTAATCCCAGCTACTTGGGAGGCTGAGGCAGGAGAATTGCTTGAACCTGGGAGGCAGAGGTTGCAGTGAGCCAAGATCACACCATTGTAATCCACCCTGGGCAACAAGAGTGAAACTCCGTCTCAAAAAAAAAAAGAAAAAATTATTTATAAAGCCAGTTTAGCATTCAATTTATATTTTGGCACATAGGTAACTAAGATGGTGACCACCTCGTCTGTACAGGCTTCTGATTGTTACCAGGCTCAGGCAAGTATGTTTTCTTTGCCTACCATAACTAAATTACAAAAATTCAGAATGAAATGAATAATCTGGAATATTTACCACTATCAGTAAAAGCCAGGTTTTTTTTCTTGCACATTGAAGTGATTTGCTTAATTTCAATAATCAGATTTGTAATTTCTGTGAAGATACTGATCACTTTATTCTCAATGTAAAGATTAAAGATGTCATCTTATTTGTGGCTAATCCATGGGGGCAATAGCAAGAAGTCCCTTTTTCACCATAAAGAAACCCAAGCACTTGGGTAAGGTCCCCATTGTGGCATTGAGACCATGGTGGATTAGAGCAGAGGTGTAGAGTGAGTTTAAGGAGACTGGATTGCTTGAGCCCAGGAGTTCGAAACCAGCCCAAGCAACATAGCAAGGCCCCGTCTCTTAAAAAAAAAAAAAAAAAAAAAAAAAATTGGCTGTGCTTAGTGGCGCAAGCCTGTAGTTCCAGCTACTCAGGAGGCTGGGGCAGGAGGATCCCTCGAGCCCAAGAGTTCCAGGCTGCAGTCAGCTAAGATCATGCCACTGTACTCCAACCTGGGTGATAGAGTCTCTGTCTTAAAAAAGGAGACTGGCTTCATCACTCACAGGAAATCACTCTTTCTTGGATTTTTTCCCCCTTTTGAGTTATCATTCAGTATATATGAGGTTTGCCTCCAGGAAGAGAATGCTCAGCCAAGCCAACTCAAGCATCTTGTGCCTTGAGAGTGACATCTTTCACTGTCACTATTGGTAGGTTGCTATCCTTGTTTGTATGCTGCCAGCTCTTTTGAATGAATTAGAATGAATCTGTCTTCCCAAGTCTTGTCAACTGTGGGAACCTGATGTGACTGAGACTTCAGGCTAGAGCCTGGGCGGTGTGGTATGGATTTACTGAGTAACGCATGGTGTGTCATCTCTTGATAGACCTTAACTGTGCATCTTCTGCTGACCTCCCTACATCATTTGAAGCCCCTTCCTTTTCACCTTTGATTCTAGAAGACTGCTTTTGAAAAAATAGGCACATTTTTAAAACATTTTTAGGAATTCAGATGCATCACTAAATATTTTTTTAAAGTGTCTGGTGCAAGTATGAAAGGTGTTTAAATTAAAGGACTCTGAGCTGGGTGCAGTGGCTCACACCTGTAATCCCAGCACTTAGGTAAGCTGGAGTGGACAGATCACTTGAGGTCAGGAGTTCAAGACCAGCCTGGCCAATGTGGTGAAATCCCATCTCCACTGAAAATACAAAAATTAGCTGGGCGTGGTGGTGCACACCTGTAATCCCAGCTCACAGGAAGCAGAGGCAGGAGAATAGCTTGAACCTGGGAGGCAGACGTTGCAATAAGCCGAGATCCCGCCACTGCACTCCTGGATGGCAGAGGAAGACTCCATCTAAAAAAATAAAGGGCTGTAGGCTGGCCTGGTGGCTCATGCCTGTAATCCCAGCACTTTGGGAGGCCAAGGCGGGGCAGATCGAGACCAGCCTGGCCAACATGGTGAAACCTCATGCCTACCAAAAACACACAAAATTAGCCAGATGTCATGGTGGGCACCTGTCATCCCACCTACTCCGGAGGTTAAGCAGGAGAATCACTTGAACCCAGAAGGTGGAGGTTGCAGTGAGCCAAGATTGCACCACTGCACTCCTACCTGGGCAACAGAGCGAGACTCCATCTAAAAAAAAAAAAAAAAAAAAAAAGCCGGGCATGGTTGCACATGCCCATAACCCCAAGTACTCAGGAGGCTGAGGCACGAGAATAGCTTGAACCTAGGAGATGGAGATTGCAGTGAGCTGAGATCCCACCACTGCACTCCAGCCTCGGAGACAGAGGAAGACTCTGTTTCAAAAAAAATTAAAGAGCTGATACCTTTGCAGTGGGAAATTCTTAAAAAGGAAAGTTTTAAGCCAAATGCCAATTTTTAACTGATCACAATGTGATGTTGTCCATAGAGGCACAATGTATATTAGTACTTTCTTCCATATTTAGTACATAATGAATGCCTTTGGTACTCATTTTCTGAATGGTTTGCTCTGGTAAGAAAGAAAAAAAAACAAGAGGCAGCTTTGCCTGCACTAGCGGTGGCAGCGAGGTTGTACCACCAAAAAGCTTCATTCCCATGGTTCCTCCCTCTGGCATCCAAGAAGTTGCAGAGTCCCTTGTGTAGTTCAGAGAGCAGGGGTGTTTCTCAGGATCTCAGAGTCATCAGCTGCTTTGAAGGTGTGCTGCTTTCACCTGTGTTTTAATGCCCTGCCCCAGGGTGGTCCCTGTCTCCCTTGGTTACAGTGCCCTGTGGCACCTTGGGTGCTCAAGTTCCAGGTTTGCCTCGCTTCTCTCAGGGTGTTCTGGAGAAACAATGCTTTTTAAGTTGACGGGTCCCATCCTCTGCCAGTTCTAGATTTTATTTCAAGAATCACCAGTGCAACTATATATACATTCTTAGATTGCTGTTTTTATTTTTAATAATTATTAAATACTGTACATTTTCTCACAAAAATTAGTATAGCTACAGAAAAGTATGCTTACATTTCATATACATTACAATGACTTTTAGACCAGGTGTGGTGGCTCATGCCTATAATCCCAGCACTTTGGGGGCTGAGGCGGGCGGATTACTTGAGTTTGAGACAAGCCTGGTCAACATAGGGAAATCTTGTCTCTACTGAAATTACAAAAATTAGCTGAGCATGGTGGTGGGTGCCTGTAATTCCAGCTACTCAGGAGGTTGAGGCAGGAGGATGACTTGAACCCGACAGGTAGCAGTTGCCGTAAGCTGAGATCCCACCACTGCACTCCAACCTGGGTGATAGAGCGAGACTCTGTCTCAAAAATAGGCCAGGTGCAGTGGCTCACGCCTGTAATCCCAGCACTTTGGGAGGCTGAGGTGGGCAGATAACCTGAGGTCAGGAGTTCGAGACCAGCCTGGCCAACATGATGAAGCCCCATCTCTACTAAAAACACAAAAATTCGCCGGGTGTGGTGGTGGGCGCCTGTAATCCCAGCTACTCGGGAGGCTGAGGCAAGAGAATCGCTTGAACCCAGGAGGTGGAGGTTGCAGTGAGCTGAGATTGTGTCACTGCACTCCAGCTTGGGTGACAGAATGAGACTCCGTCTCAAATAATAATAAAGTAAATAAAATAACTTTTGATTTGCGTTAGATAGCTTGATACCAATTTGATAAACAATTAAGTCTTCATTTTAAACAGCCTGCCCTGAGTATGGCAAAGATTTAGTCTACTGATTCTCGTTAGTGTATCTAATTCAGTGTCTTAAACAAACATCACCTCACTCTTACAGGGCTCGTGCGATCCGCTTCAGACAGGATGGTAATGAAGCCGTCGGAGGATTCTTCTCTCAGATTGGGCAGCTGTACATGGTGCACCATCTTTGGGGTATCTGTTTTTTCCTTTTTGAGTTACTGGGATTTAAGAGTTCATTACTAAGTTGTACTGGGCAGTAGAGCACATCTTGAGTCAGTAACCTTAACCACTACAGCAAATCCAGACGTCACAGAGGGACAGTCTATACGGGGCTGTCTGGAACTAGCGAGGTCAACAGTACAAGTCCATAGATTGATGGCATTAGTGAGCTGAAAGTGAGTGGGGATGATGGGGAAAGGAATAAGGGGTGAAGCAAGCAGCCATGGAAGAAGGAGGCCAGGGAAGTCAGAGTGCCTTCCACAGAGTGGTCCCAGCCTTTCTTTGTAGACTGACTTCTTAATTCCTTGGCAGAGGCAGGCCTGCATTTTACCCAGAGCGGCAGCTTCCTGCACATACTCACTGTCTGCCTTTGTAGACATGGTTCCACTGTCTCAGGACATGGACCCCCTCACCTTTTCCATCCCCACGCACTTTTATTTGGCACCATCTTTGGTATCTTTCCCGTCCTGCCCCAGATATCACCCCTCCCCAGTAGTGAACATCATCACTCCTCCTGAGCCCCCAGAGCCCTGTGTGGTGCTGGTTATTACTGTTGCACTGTGTATGGTGTGCAACCCTCTCAGGCATCCCTGTCTATGAATAAGCACAGGTGCTAGAAGGGCCGGATTGGATGGAGGAAGTTTCCATCCCTTTGGCTCTTGGGCCGAGGTCAAGCCAGGTGCATGCTCCATTCACATCAGCACCTGTAGCTGCTTGCAGAGGGCCTCCCAGATGCAGGATCCTGGAATTGCAAACAGGCAGGCACCAGAGTGTGAATGGCGGAGCTCTCACAGAGGCTGTGGGGAACATAGGGCAGACCTCCTGTCTCTGCCCTGTGGGGAGGACTCAAGGTTTCACAGAGCAACAGCAAGATGAAGAGGATTGCTTGAGGCCAGGAGTTTGAGGCAACAGTGAGCTATGACTGTGCCACTGCACTCCAGCCTGGGCAATACAGCAAGACCCTGTCTCAAAAAAAAGGTAATTAAGAAGATATTGGCTGGGCACAGTGGCTCATGCCTATAATCCCAGCACTTTGGGAGGCCGAGACAGGTGGATCACCTGAGGTCAGGAGTTAAGAGACCAGCCTGGCCAACATGGCGAAACCTCGTCTCTACTAAAAATACAGAAAATTAGGCATGGCGGTGCATGCCTGTAATCCCAGGTACACAGGAGGCTGAGGCAGAAGAATCGGTTGAACTCAAGAGGCGGAGGTTGCAGTGAGCTGAGATCGCACCACTGCACTCCAGCTCGGGAAACAGCAAGACTCCGTCTCAAAAAAAATAAAAGGAAAGTAAAAAAGAAAGAAGGCATCTGGATGAGATACCTGTGAATTGTACCACGACACAGGTGATCCCCCTCCACCTGAAGCGCCTTTCTTCCCATTCCTACATCAGTGATGTCCTTTTCAACTTCAACACCCACCTGGTCAACTTGCACCTTTCCCACAGCTCTCCCATTGCCTGCCCTGCTCCCCTGTACACTGTGTCCTTGCATGGGCCACAGCACTCTCCACGGCTGATCTTGCCTGTCTCATATCCTGGGGCTTCACCACATGGAACACACCCGCTACCCAGATCAGTGTAGTGCGAGATAAATGTTGAGTAAAGTTGATCTGACATTGCTTATCTGTGGTCTCACAGTTTCTGGTCATGAATTTAACATGTTATTGGAGAAGTTCACTTGGTTTATAAAGGTATATCGTAGATTCACTAGATTTTAAAGCTTAAGAGGGAATTGTGGCCGGATGTGGTGGCTCACGCCTCAAATCCCAGCAGTTTTGGAGGCTGAGTCGGGAGGATCGCTAGAGTCCAGGTGTTTGAGACCAGCCTGGGCAACATAGTGAGACCCCATCTCAAACAAGCAAATAATTTTTTTTAACTTAAGAATGGGCCAGGTGTGGTGGCTCACCCCTGTAATTCTAGCACTTTGGGAGATTGAGGCGGTTTGATGATTTGAGCCCAGGAGTTTGATGTCTGCCTGGTCACAAAAAAATACAAAAATTAGCCAATGTGGTAGCACTTTCCTGTAGTCCCAGCTATTCAGTGGGCTGAGGTAGGAGGATCACTTGAGCGTAGGAGGTCAAGGCCATGGTGAACCATCATCATGCTACTGCGCTCCAGCCTGGCTGACAGAATGACCCTGTCTCAAAAAAAAAAAAAAAAAAGACTGAAAGTTTGCTTTTCCCACATGGCCTAATATAATTTTGCTCAGTGTTTCCCCAGCCCAGTATATTACACACCTGAAGTAGTCCCTGAGAAAACTAGATGCCCAGGTGAAGCAAGACCTTAACATATGTATGGGTGGAATGCAGGGTATATGTTTTAAGTCTTACTTCTCTGTGGGGTTATTTTTAAGCTTACAGGGATCTTCAGACCAGGGAAGACATACGGAATGCAGCATGGCACAAACATGGCTGGGAGGAATTGGTATATTACACAGGTAATCTCTTAATAGCCATGAAATAACGCTTTTTGTCTTACTGTTTCAATCATGTTCTTTCACCCTGACACTAATAGGTGGCTTTTATAATAGTGTGTTACTAGGATAGTGAGTCATCAGGTTGGGAGGGGAAGGGAGATAGTCAATTTTTCTCTAATACTTACGTGACGTTTTTCAATAAAGCAGAATATCCATTCTTTCAAATATGTTTATCATCTGTTACAGTTTTCAGACCCTTGGATGTTGTAAATTGTACATCATTACCTTTCTTTGTAGATTTCTATATTGTCTGAAAACTTATTACACAAATAAAATTTTTTCTAAGCTTTCCTTTTCCATCAAAATTGTTAGTATCCCAAATCAGAACTTAATATATCAATTAAAGAGTGATTTTGAAATTAGATAAATTAAACTTCCTGTATGTACAGTATGTATACATGGGTACATAATACATGCATGTGCACATACATAAGTATATTATTAAACCCTGTTTGCTTGATTTTTATAAGAAAACAGTTGGCTGAATATAACCCAGTGCATTGGTAGAGGTAATCAGTACCAGCCATGTTGCATGGCAAGTATATTTCTGGCCAGGCGCAGTGGCTCACGCCTGTATTCCTAGCACTTTGGGAGGCCGAGGCGGGCAGATCACCTGAGGTCGGGAGTTCGAGACCAGCCTGACCAACATGATGAAACCTGTCTCAATTTGAGAGGCTGAGGCAGGAGAATCGCTTGAACCTGGGAAGTGGAGATTGTGCCACTGCACTCCAGCCTGGATGACAAAGCAAGACTCCGTCTCAAAAAAAAAAAAAAAAAAAAGTATATCTCAGCCCATATACTACCAAGAAAATAAAAGAGTAATTTGTCCTAGAAAGTAGATGTTACCTTGTCTTTTAGTTCAAGAGATTATATAACATATAATTGCATGTTATAATTATATAATTTGATTTGATTTTGCTGCTTACTCAAAGAACGTTTGAGAAATCACCATTTTTCTCACAATAAGACAATACAGACTTTCCCCACCTCCTACAAATAAAACAAATCTCCAGGTAGCATCTGTTGTAATTTTTTCTTCCTTTTTTTTTTTTTTTTTTTTGAGACGGAGTCTTGTTCTGTCACCAGGCTGGAGTGCAGTGACGCGATCTCGGCTCACTGCAACCTCTGCCTCCTGGGTTCAAGCGATTTCTCCTGCCTCAGCCTCCTGAATAGCTGGGATTACAGGCAGGCGCCACCACACCCAGCTAAGTTTTGTATTTTTAGTAGAGACGGGGTTTCACCCTGTTGGCCAGGATGGTCTAGATTTCCTGACCTTGTGGTCCACCTGCCTTGGCCTCCCAAAGTGCTGGGATTACAGGTGTGAACCATCGCACCCAGCTGATGTGTTGTAATTTTAATAGCATCTTGTAGGATGCCAGCTGATACAGGGCCCACTTCTATATTTCTGCCCTTGAGGTTAATCCTGTATATTATGTTTTTTTTTTTTTTTTTTTTTTGAGACCGAGTCTGGCTCTGTGGCCCAGGCTGGAGTGCAGTGGCGCAATCTCAGCTCACTGCAAGCTCCAGCTCCCGGGTTCACGCCATTCTCCTGCCTCAGCCTCCCGAGTAGCTGGGACTACAGGCACCTGCCACCGCGCCCGGCTAATTTTTTGTATTTTTAGTAGAGATGGCGTTTCACCTTGTTAGCCAGGATGGTCTCGATCTCCTGACCTCATGATCCGCCTGTCTCGGCCTCCCAAAGTGCTGGGATTACAGGCTTGAGCCACCGCGCCCGGCCTAATCCTGTATATTATGACATTCTCTTGTTTTCAAGCAGCACAATCTGTCTGTTAGTGTCATTTACCATAATGTGTTTAGAAAAGAACAAGTGCAGTAACCCTGATCCTATTTTCAGTTCCACTTATTCAGGAAATGGAATCCAGAATCATGATCCCACTGAAGACCTCGCCGCTCCAGTAAAGCTGTAGAGTTTCTATGTGCCTACATACATTTCTGTGACAAGTATTTGTCATAAATTAATTTTAATTGTATATCACGTGAAAAAGAAACACTGAGGTTTAAGCTGCTGTATATAGCTTGTGAGAAACCTCTTTTCTTTAAAATTTACATAATCACAAGAAAGGAAAGAATTACAGTTGGACTGATTGTGACAGTGCCCTGTTGTCCTCTTTGAAACACCCCTGTGTTGTCCAGTGTACCTTATAACACTTAGCCACTTCTCCCCACCCTCCAGGAGGGGTCCACATTGAATTCTGAATCATCTTTTTTTTTTTTTTTTTTTTTTGAGACGGAGTCTCGCTCTGTCGCCCAGCCCAGGCTGGAGTGCAGTGGCGCGATCTCAGCTCACTGCAAGCTCCGCCTCCCGGGTTCACGCCATTCTCCTGCCTCAGCCTCCCGAGTAGCTGGGACTACAGGCGCCCACAACCGCGCCCGGCTAATTTTTTGTAATTTTTAGTAGAGACGGGGTTTCACCGTGGTCTCGATCTCCTGACCTTGTGATCCGCCCGCCTCCTCCCAAAGTGCTGGGATTACAGGCGTGAGCCACCGCGCCCGGCCGAATTCTGAATCATCTTAAAAATAAGATTCCAACCACAAAAACAATTAGCCATTTCTTTACTAAAAAACAAAAAACAAATCTGTTTTATAATTACAGATTTTTAGACAAATTTCTTGTATCAGGAAGAAATACAAATTTTGTCATGTTTCTCAAGCAGTTTTTCTGAGTAGTTTCTGAGGAGGAACAAATTACGAGTGTGCCCAATAACTGAAAATGTTTTAACTCACTCTCATTTGTAAGCAGTCCACATAGTAGACAATGGGTTTTCCAAGCTGGGCAAGGTACATTTAATCAGTAAATCAGTTTCCTATCATGTATCGTGATGTTTCAGTGTGAGACACAAAAACAATGGCTTGAAACTTGTGTATCATATGTGATTTTGAAATGAACACCTTGAATAGCACTAATTTTTATTTGTGATATTTTTCTATAACAAAACAAGTAGCACTAGGAAAAGAGGTTTTATTTTGTAAACGATCATTTGTGACCTCAGACACTCTCTGGCTAATATTTTAATAAGCTCACAGCAGATTATTCTGAGATCATGGATGAGGGGTGGTGCATGTTGAGATTTAAATTGGCATAAAGCTGCATCCTTTTTGTCTAGCTGTTTGATTTCATTGTTTAATATGGTGTGCCAATTTCGTGACTGTTACCATGTGAAAGTCCTGTTGAAATGAACAATCATGTCTGCCCCACAATCAAGGATGCCTGTGTGAAGTGTGAGTCAATCTCATACCCAATGTCAGACTTTTACATGTCAATGATTTTCTCCAAGAACATAGAAAAGTCAATAAAATCCTCTTAATTTTCACATATCATGTTTGGATTTTTGTTTTTTTTTATTTGTTCTGAGAATGACAGACGTTCTGAGAATGACAGACGTGCTGTGAATGACTCTGTCACTCTTGCAAAATAGCTTGTCACAAAGGATTAAAGGAAGTGAGGAAGTCAGCTGGCTTCTGGGGAAAATCCTTCCAAAGGAACAAAGTATGAGGCCCTGGGCAAGGTCATGTCTGGTATGTGCCGAGGGCAGCAGAAGCCAGTGGCGGAAGCAGACATGAGGGAGAGCGTGGTGGGACATGAGCTCAGAGCTCACAGGGCTGGATCCCTTGAGTGTTGGAGGCCATTAGAAAGACCCTAGTGGCCAGGCCCAATGGCTCACACTGGTAATTCCAACACTTTGGGAGGCCGAGGCTCAAGGATCCCTTGAGCGCAGGAGTTTGAGACCAGCCTGGGCAACATGAATGAAACCTCATCTCTACAAAAAATTGAAAAATTAGCTGGGCATGGTAGCATGTGCCTGTAGTCTCAGCTACTCAGGAGGCTGAGGCAGGAGGATTGCTTGAGCCCAGGAGGTTGAGGCTGTAATGAGCTGTGATCACGCCACTGCACTGCAGCCTGGGCAAGAGAGCTAGACCCTGAATCAAAAAAAAAATAAGGCTGGGCGCAGTGACTCATGCCTGTAATCCCAGCACTTTGGGAGGCCAAAGCAGGCAGATGACTTGAGGCCAGGAGTTTGAGACCAGCCTAGCCAACGTGGAAAACCCTGTCTCTACTAAAAACACAAAAATTAGCCGGATGTGGTGGCACATGCCTATAATCACAGCTACTTGGGAGGCTGAGGTAGGAGAATTGCTGAACCTGGGAGGCAGAGATTGCAGTGAGCCAAGAACGTGCCACTGCACTCCAGCCTGGGCGACAGAGTGAGACTCCATCTGCAAACAAAAAATAATAAAAAGACCTTGGCTTTTATTATAAGGGAGATGGGAGATGAGATCCGCTGGAGGCTTTCAAGCAGAGGAAAGGCATGATCTGACTTTTTTTTTTTTTTTTTTTTTTGAGACGGAGTCTCGCTCTGTCGCCCAGGCTGGAGTGCAGTGGCCAGATCTCAGCTCACTGCAAGCTCCACCTCCCGGGTTCACGCCATTCTCCTGCCTCAGCCTCCCAAGTAGCTGGGACTACAGGCGCCCGCCACCTTGCCCGGCTAGTTTTTTGTACTTTTTAGTAGAGACGGGGTTTCACCGTATTAACCAGGATGGTCTCGATCTCCTGACCTTGTGATCCGCCCGTCTCGGCCTCCCAAAGTGCTGGGATTACAGGCTTGAGCCACCGCGCCCGGCCTGATCTGACTTCTATTTTCCTTTTTTTTTTTTTTTTTTGAGATAGAGTCTTGCTCTGTCGCCCAGGCTGGAGTGCAGTGGCACAATCTCGGCTCACTGCAACCTCTGCCTCCTGGGTTCAAGCGATTCTCCTGCCTCAGCCTCCTAGTAGCTGGGACTACAGTCACGTGCCACCACACCTGGCTAATTTTTTGGTGTTTTTAGTAGAGACAAGGTTTTACCCTGTTAGCCAGGATGGTCTCGATCTCCTGACCTCATGATCCTCCCGCCTTGGCCTCCCAAAGTGCTGAAATTACAGGCGTGAGCCACCGTGCCCAGCCCTATATTTTCAATAGTAACTTCAATAAGGAGTAGCAGTAAAAGTAAGCAGAATGGGCCAGGCATGGTGGCCTGTAATCCCAGCACTTTGGGAGGCCAAGGCAAGGCAGATCACCTGAGGTCAGTTCAAGACCAGTCTGACCAACATGCAGAAACCCCATCTCCACTAAAAATACAAAATTAGCCGGGCGTGGTGGTGCATGCCTGTAATCCCAGCTACTTGGGAGGCTGAGGCAAAATACTCACCTGAACCCGGGAGGCAGAGTTTGCAGTGAGCCAAGATCGCACCATTGCACTCCAGCCTGGGCAACAAGAGTGAAACTCCGTCTCAAAAAATAATAAGTAGGCAGAATGGCCAGATTCTAAATATATTTTGATTGTAGAGCCAATGTGAATTCCTGAACAAGTGATTGTGGAGTGTGAATGAAAGAAAAAAGTGATTTTAGTTTTTGGCCCGAGCACTTGGAAGGCTGGGGAAGGTGGAACAGATTTGGGGGAATGAAGATCAGATATTCTATTCTACTCATGCTGAGTTGGAGATATCTCTGCACAGATCCAGGGGGAGATGTCAAGTAGGTCTTGGTTATGAGTCTGGAATTTAAGAGAGCCTTCTGGCCTGGAGATGCACATTTGCAAATTGTCCACATAAGTTGAAGTGAGGCAGCCAGATGTGGTGGCTCACGCCTGTAATTCCAGCACTTTGGGAAGCCGAGGCGGGAGGATCACCTGAGGTCAGGAGTTCGAGATGAGCCTGGCCAACATGGTGAAACCCCGTCTCTACTAAAAATACAGAAATTAGCTGGGTATGGGGGTGGGCACCTGTAATCCCAGCTACTTGGGAGGCTGAGGCAGGAGAATCGCTTGAACCCAGGAGGTGGAGGTTGCAGTGAGCTGAGATCGCACCACTGCACTACAGCCTGAGTGACAGAGCGAGACCCTGTCTCAAAAAAAAAAAAAAGACAAGCTCACCAAGCGAGTGACTATAGTCAGATGAGAGGATCAAGGTGAGGAGGAACCTGCAAAAGAGACTAAGAAACCACCAGGGAACTCGGCAGACACTCAAGCAAGCGGAGTGTCATGAGTGTCAGGAAGTCGAGACCAGCCAGGCCAACAAAGCAAAACCCTGTCTCTACTAAAAATTCAAAAATGAGTCGGGTGTGGTGGTACACACCTGTAATCCCAGCCACTTGGGAGGCTGAGGCAGGATAATCACTTGAACCGGGGAGGCAGAGGTTGCAGATATTGCGCCACTGCACTCCAGCCTGGGGGACAGAGTGCGATTCCATCTCAAAAAAAAAAAGAGGAGGAAGATTTTTAAGTCAGTGTCTCAGAGGCAGTAGCTTCCCTCTGGGACAGCCCATACCGCAAGATAATCAGTTACTTCCCTGCCCTTTTAGTGTTCTATGAGTAACATTCTTAGAATGGCTTGTATTTCTAGGTGACTAAAACTAGATAGATAGATAGATAGATAGATAGATAGATAGATAGATAGATAGATAGATAGATACAGATAGATAGATGATAGATAGATAGAGACAGATAGATAGATAGATAGATAGATAGATAGATAGATAGATAGATAGATAGATAGATAGATAGACGATAGATAGATAGATAGATATTCTCTTTCTTTGGATATTTACCTGACAAGCTTCCACTGATATCAAGTAGTGGTTTTGTTTTGTTTTAGAGACAGTCTTGCTTTGTCAGTCAGGCTGGAGTGCAATGGCTTGACAGCTCACTGCAGCCTCGACCTCCTAGGCTCAGGTGACCCTCCCACCTCAGCCTCTTGAGTAGCTGAGACTACAGTGCATGCACCATGCCTGGCTAAGTTTTAATTTTCTGTAGACACAGGGTTTCCTTACGTTGCCCAAGCTGGTCTCCAACTCCTGGGCTCAAGCAGGCCTCCTGCCTGGGCCTCCCAAAGTGTTGAGATTACAGGCATTAGCCACTGCGCTTGGCCACCCATTGCTTTAATTTAGGGCCTTTAAGATGGACAGCACCCCTCCAATGATTAGGAGAGGCCCAAGATGGAAATAAAGAGTTTATCACTTGGCCAGGCACGGTGGCTGATGCCTGTCCCAGCATTTTGGGAGGCCGAGGCAGGAGAATCACTTGAGTACAGGAGTTGGAGACCAGTCTGGGCAATTTCTATAGACCCTGTGTCTACAACAAATTTAAAAATTAGCCAGGTACAATGGTCTGTGTCTGTGGTCCCAGCTACCTGACAGGCTGAGGCAAGAGGATCACTTGAGCCTGGGACGTCAAGGCTGCAGTGGGCTGTGTTCGTGTCACTGTACTCTAGCCTGGGTGACGAAGCCAGAGCCTGTCAAAAAACAAACAATAAAACAAAAAACCAGTTTATCACTTAAAGTTCCTAGGGATACACAGTACTCCTGGAGGTCATACACAGGAGGTCAGAAAGAGACTTGGGGGCCAGTGCCTGGGCATCACCCAAACAGGTTTCCCCGTGGAGATTTTAATTGGTGGGTTTAAAGCAAGCAGGTGGCCGGGTGAGATGGCTCATGCCGGCAATCCCAGCACTTTGGGAGGCTGAGGCAGATGAATCACCTGAGGTCAGGAGTTTGAAACCAGCCTGGCCAGCATGGTGAAACCCCTGTCTCCACTAAAAATACAAAAATTAGCTGGGCGTGGTGGTGGGCACCTGTAGTCCCAGCTACTTGGGAGGCTGAGGTAGGAGGATCGCTTGAGCCTGGGAGATCAAGGCTGCAGTACGCTGAGATTGCACCACTGCACCCCAGCCTGGGCAACATAGACAGACCCTGTCTCAAAAAATAAAGCAAGCAGTCACAAGTTCCAGGAGGTCTTGCAGTGACTGAATGGTGGTCACTGCAGCATATCTGCCTAGTCTGTGTGGGGTGTGAGGGCCAGCGGGGCCACCTGAACAGACTGCATGGAACTGTCCCATGGGAAGGTGGCCACCAGGGGGCAGTTGTGTAAGGCAGACTTCTGGATCCACCACACTGAGGAACTGGGGGGTCAGGGAGTAGAACTGGAAACAGTGTCAAGAGTGACCGAGTTGGCTGGGTGCTGTGGCTCACGCCTGTAATCTCAGCACTTTGGGAGGCTGAGGCAGGCAGATCACCTGAGGTCATGAGTTCGAGGCCAGCCTGGCCAATATAGTGAAACCCCGTCTCTACTAAAAATACAAAAATTAGCCGGGCATGGTGGTGCACGCCTGTGACTCCAGCTACTCAGGAGGCTGAGACAGAAGAATTGCTTGAACCCGGGAGGCAGAGCTTGCAGTGAGCCGAGATCACACCACTGCACTCCAGCCTGGGTGACAGAGCAAGACTTCATCTCAAATAATAATAATAATAATAATTCACTAAAAATTTTTTTTTAATTTTTTTTTT